GATGAACCAAGGAATGAAAATTTGGTGCTTAAACATCTAGCATTGGGATTTTTGCCTGGATGAACGGGGAACAGTTAAAAATTCAAATTTTAAAATAACTGAAAAAATTACTGGTTTAAAAAGTTTTTAATTTATATTGAGTATAAAGTAACACAAAAACTTTGTGAATTTAAAAATCTTGGGTTTTAAATTCCGTTTAAAATATCCCCAAAACTTGTGAATTGAGGAAATCCATTTTGTTTTTTTTTCAAAATGCCAAAGAATCAGAATTAAAGTGACAGGTTTCATAAGGTGAGGCTTTAAAGTTCTGCAGAGCATGTGATTTGAAGAACTGAAGTTCCATGGAGATTGTGGTTGAAGAACTCAATTTTGGGCCTGAATTGGAATTTCGATCCAGGTCGGAGATTCGGCCGGAATTGGATTTATAGCTTGAGGTTCTCATCCTCGTCGCCATTGTTGAAACTTGACTAATGCATGGAATAATAATACAACACAAAATGTACTTAGAACAAAATGCATTGAAACAAGAAAGTGTACACAATATTTACATAGTCTTTTGTATATTCCTGGTAAGACCGTTACTGGAGAATGTGTTGACTGAGTCGCAGTCGGGCAGAGTCTCTGGTTGAATCTCTTGATTGCTTCCCTCGTCTTCCCAGTACCAACCATATTTAAATGGTCGGTACTCCACTATGCAAATTAGGTGGATCCTACCACAACACTTAAGTTTTGGGCCGGCTTAAAAGTCCTCATGTAGTGCGGTTGGTAACCTAGTTATGAATAAATTGTAGTTATCTCTTACGCCGGCGTTCCTCGGGGTTTCCTCTTCAGTCCTATCCTCTTATTGCTCTATATCAATGATCTACCCAGGAACATATTCCGATCTTTAGTGAGTATCTATGTGGATGGCACAACAGTTTATAGGTACACCTCCAAAGATCTGGATGACTAGAACCTGGCAGCTCAACTATCTCTCGTGGCTCAATGGGGGAAGGACTGGCTTGTGAAATTCAATATGTCCAAAACTAAAAACTAGCAACGTTCCGCCATAACCGAGCAGACACTGAACTTTCACCCTTCATGATAGATGGGTTTTCTCTAAAGGAGGCTATTTGCCTTGAACGTCTAATGAGACTCAAGCTCACCAGACCTCATGTAGAACATGTAGACGATCCACGATCTAAAGATGCTGGAAAAATGGTCAGTTCCCTGTACCGCTCCAGTAAGTATCTGATTCCCCACCCTCTGTTATACTCTATCTTTACAAAAACCAGATCAGACCAAAAATAGAGTGTTGCTGTAGCTGTCTAGTCCTCACTTACTGTCGTGGATTCCGAGATGAAATCTGGTCTCAAATGAATGACAAACGCAGGAATGAAATATAACAAATACGTAATAATACAATTAGTAATACCAGTAATACAATTGGTAGATCCAGAAATGCGGTTAGTAGCAATAATAATATATATACAGTCTGGGAAATTCAGTATCGAAGTATGACTTCCTTCTGAGTCTACGTGCTTGTAACTGTGACTCCTACAAAGCGGTTACCTCACACACTCACTTCCGACTTCCGGGTATTCACCGGCAGTAGTACAAATACACACTGGTCGAGTCCACTTGTATGAAAAAGGGGTGGACCCCATAACACTTACTTGCTTCGATAGAGTTCAAAAGCATCTACTTGGACTTGTGGGTGATGAATTATTTTTCACCCTACAACCCCTTTCCTCACAGACCAAACGTCGCGAGCCTCATGCTATCCTATCGCTATTTCTATGGCGAGTGTTCTGACTAGCTAGATTTATTGGTTGCATCCGCCCTGATTCGCCATGCCGCGTAAACAAGGGTCAATGATTATCATTCTCTTCGTATTCCATTAGTAAGGAGTAAGTTCCATTCGGATAGCTTCTACCTAAGATCTGCTGCTTTGTGGAACAGACTACCGAGAAGATGCTTGCCAATCACTAAGATTTTGACCTTTTCAAGCCTAGAGTTAACTGTTACCTTTTTCACATAACCTCATGAATTACACTTCACTTTCTTGCACTTTTTACGTCCGTACAACATCACATAGTGACCGTCTGTCTTGAGAGGATCTTGGGCTTTGGATAGGGTTAACATTGGAATAAAAAATACAGCTGACAGTTTAGGTAATTCTGACGGGTTTCACGCCATGCATGACATCCTTATGAAAATCTCGACTTGATTAGGTTATTTAAGAACATGACTTGAGTTTTCAGGTTGATGTTTTGGTTTTTGTTGTGCTTGGTAAAACTATCTCTAGCGGACTCTATTCTTTGTTCAATTTCCTTATCTCCTATATTAAATAACCGACCCATACACCAAGGTCGGAATGTTAGTTCACGGCGTCGTGCGGGACAATTTTTTCTCGACCGAATCCATCTGTATATTTAAAATCTTCTTAGATATCTTTCTGTGGATTCTTGAGCGGTCAATCTAAACAAATCTTGGGGCTTAACACAAAACAGATGTTTTGTTTCTTTGTCTAAAACAGTTTAGATCACTATTTTCTGTGAGCACACAAATTTTCTGCAGATAGTGTTGTGTAAATAAACGTCCAAATTCTAGTTTCTAGTTCGGCCCCTGAACAGAATTTCTCGTAAAAGACTTAAATATATATGACAAATATTTTGCTTATTTTGAATATGATAAATACTTATAGACAAAAATATAAGTAACCAATAATTACTTATCCCAGTAACAAGTAAATGCTTATAGATTCAAATATAAACGACTAATATTTACCTATCACCGGACCAGCAAAATGCTTATAGAGGCAAATACAGAGGACCAATATTTACCCGTCCTGGGTATGACGATAAATTACATCCGCGTCCTGGGTAAGACGATAAACTAAGTCCAACAGCAAGGCCTCTGATCAGGAGGTTTTTTGATGAGTGTGGAACCACCTCTTAATTGCTGGTGTTCCCATGTCCACCCTGACACGGATTGATAGCACCTGTTAGGGTCCCAGCTATGGGTAAATAGTTAACCCCGAAACTGGGGTCAAAACACTAAGAAAGTTTAAAAATAGGTTTTAATACCAGAAATACTTTGTAAAAAAATATTACCAGCAATACATTTTTTTAAAAAATTATTACCAGTAATACATTTTTGAAAAAAAAAATATTGCCTGCAAGACATTTTTGAAAAAAAAATATTACCAGCAATACATTTTTGAAAAAACATTACCAGTAATAAAAATTTTGTCGAAATTGAGGTTGATATGCTGTAAAACAAACCATGTCTTGCACTTCCCGTCTGTGGAACTCCCTTCTTCTTACTTGCTTTTCTGATACCTATAATCTTCAATTATTCAAATGGAATGTCAATCGACATCTTCTGATGCCTTGAACTAATTCCCTGTCTTTCTTTTTATCCTTTCCTCTTTCACGCCTCTTTACTCTTGCTCCCAATCCTCTGTAACCCCTTGCGTGCTAGTGGCACTCCCGCCTTGCTTGGAGTGAAATACTTACAAAAAATATCACAAGAATAAATATCACTTTCTTCTATGGTACCTAGATGTTATGAATTTAAGCGTAGTACTAGATTGGCGACAGGGTTTCATCATTATACAGTTGAAATAGCTAGATACAACCGTAAGTTCTATGCTAACAGTTTCTTCTCTCCCACTTCTCGTTTGTAAAACTCTCTTACGGCTTCTTGCTTCTTAGTTAAGTTTGATTTTAAAATTTAGATGCAATGTCAACCGTTATCATTTGTCTTAATTCTTGTTCTTTTATTGTTCTCTCTCATTGATAATATTGTTTTCTCATATATTCCAACACTCAGTAACCCTTTGTGTCTTAGTGGCTTTATTGCCTTGCTTGGGGTGAAATAATTTAAAAAGAATTAAGTGTTTAAAGTTAACTATTAAATAGTTGAGTATTTTTAGTTTCGTGGGAAAATCGAAGTAGATAAAATGAAAAATACTTATATTCTTCTTGTTTGTTAATCGAATGATGATCGATCTATCTATATATAAAACAGAGGATTCTGTCTGTCTGTGTGATACCTTTTCACTCGAGATCCATCCAACCGATTTTGAACAAACTTGGCACATACATTGTACAATGTAAGAGATAGGTTCTTAGAGTAAAAAAAATCGATAATTTAAAAACAAATCAATAATCGACAAAGCCAATCAAAAATCGATAAATTCAACTTTTTCTTCCGATTTCGTTCAAACTCCGTGTGTAGGTTATTTACATCATGACCAGCTCAAAGATACCTCATTTTTATTTCTATGCCACTGCGTTTAGCGAAAAAACGCGAAAAACGAAAAATCAATTTCAACACAAATCGATTCCAACACAGATTTTAAACTATAAACTCCCTCAATTTTCAAGCAATCTAATACAAACTTCACTCAGTTGTAGCCAACAATAAGTTGATTATTTAACAGTCATTTAATTTGATAATTGAGTCCACTCATATCGTGAAAACCCGCGTAAACAGCGGAAATATCGATTTTTACTGGTTTCTTTCTTGTTTTTCGTTGATCTTTCTACCAATTTTCATCAAACTTAACAATTGCTTTATAAATGCATCCTCTTTTACATACCTGGTAGCACACTGACAAATTGAATTTCAAAAACTCCAAAGTAATTGTGGTCTGAAGTGGGTCTTCATTGAATAAATAAATATTCTTTGATTCTTGTTATATCAATAACTGCATTAATTCAAAATGATTTTTAAAAAAAGTACTTTAAAGTAATTGAAGAAGATAAACTCAGTTACATCTAAACATGATGCTGTTTTTGCTCCATTCTAATTGAACGCTTTTTCTGATTGACAAGCTGGGTATGGCTGCTCGTGTATATATATATATATATATATATATATATATATATATATATATATATATATATATATATATATATATAAGCTGGGTATGGATGTTCGTTATGAATCAATTTTAATTATCTCTGCTTTACTTTTATGCTTTAAATTTGTCTGAGGATCGAGTTTCTTACCTTCTTCAACTGTTACAGCTGCCACCGTATCACTTAAAGGACTGTCGTCCCCTTCTGCGCATGCCTGTAATTGGATGACGTATTCCCGGGCTGGTTGAAGTGAGTCAATAAGGAATTCATCGCAGTCTTTCCCTTCAAACATACATTGATTATCTGAAAATTCAATAACGAAATTGAATACAAAAAAAAAGGATTGTCTTTTTTTTATTTTTTATTAATCGGTGTCACCCCAAGAAGGCAGTAAAGCCACAAAGACACATGTCATTACAGGGCGTGAAGAAATTACGAACAGAAAAATTAGTAATAAGTAGAAAGAGAAACGGGCAATCAGGAGACATTTAAATTTTTGCAGATTAAAGTGCGAGAAAAGAAACTGTTAGCATAGAACTTACAGCTACATCTAGCTAGATCAATTGTAAATTGCTGAGATCTTGCCGATAGTTTAGTAACGCATATAAATTCATCCAAAATAGAATTTAAAAAAAATCAATGAACCCAAATAAATAAATTAAATAATAAACAAATTAGCAAACCATTATGACCAAAATATTAGTTAGACTATAAAAATCAAACCAAAAATCGGACGAAAAAAAAATAGCTATAACCAAGTACCATAGGGAAGAGTTCATCCGAACAATTACCATGAAAGTATTTATAGAAAAGGCACAGAGAGGCAACTTTACGACGTTTGAGGTACCATAGCCACTTCACCTAGAAATAATGTTCCTTTTCATTTTTTTTTCATATTAATATAAATTAAACACGACAGACCACAAATAGCTGGAAATAATATTGCTTTTCATTTCTTTTCATATTACTAGAAATTAAACACGACAGATCACAAATATTTAAAAAAAAAATTAATTAAATTTTATAAAAGTTAATAGGGCATAGTTTATTATACCGGGTGCAACAGCAAAATTGTTCAAATCGTGTAACAGCAAAATTGTCCATCACCCAAAATGTTTAATATCTAAAAAAAAACCCCACTAAACTAATTGAGTTTCCTTTTTCTAGGTTTTCAGAGGTTTAGACATCTTGACACGGTTTTTCGTAAGAATCACCGAAAAACCCTTTGAGTTATTCAGCTAGAAAGAGAACAGGATAAAGTCGTTTTGTGTCAGCCCCACTGCCTTCCCAACTGGGCAATGGTGAGAGGAAAAAGATCATTCAGGCCTTCAGTAATATTCTGGCTTCTACCTTCAAGGTCTATTCAAGAACCATCAAGAGAATGGTGAATATGTTTAAAGAAGAGGGGACAGTTGAGAGAAAAACTGGATCAGGGATCATCACTTCAACTTCGAGCAAAAGAGATCAATTAGAAAAGATCCAACTCAATCCATAAGACTTTTGGCACATGAGAGAAGAGTTTCAGCTATGACAGTCCAAAGAGCAGTGAAAAAAGGACTTGCAAATGAAAATTTTTACGTGAAACCGTGTTAATCCAGAAGAGAAAGTTAGAAGGTTAGAGAGGGCGAATAAGTTGGAAAATGAACTTAGCTAGGATTAATTAATGACGAACATGCCATTTTCGTTTATGATCGATTTCATCACGATTCTTCTGTTAAGGTTCGAGAGTAATTATGCATTCTTATTGATCAAAGTAGAGTCCAATAGTGTTATAAAAACTTCGGAAAAATCCAGTGAGATATCTATAATCATTTCTAAGATAGAAATGGTTCAACGCTTAATCTAACAACTAGACAATTTTGCTGTTGAACGATTTGGACAATTTTGCTGTTACACTCAGGTATAAACTCTTTGTAAATTGATCCTCTCCGACGAAAAACTAAACAAAATAGGAATATTGGAAGTGATATCGTCAAATATAAAAAATTATAAAATATAAAATATATATATATAAATATAATATATAAAATATAATAATATAATATATAAAATATAATATATAAAAATATATAAAATATATATATAGAATATAAAAAAATATGAAAAATATAAATATATAAAAATATAAAAAATATATTTTTTAAAAAATTCGTAACCCGGGCTTTGATAATTGCCATGATATTTTCAAAAGCCAAACAGAATATTAAAAGACAGAAAAATTTCGTTGGAAAAAAAAGAAAAGAGTATTGAACTGTTACGTGATATATGTCCTCCTGTATGGCAGCGAATGCTGGACAATCTCCTCAAAGATGAAGAAGAGACTTAAAGCAACAGAAATGTAGTTCTACAGAAGTATACTGAGGATGCCATGGACCGAACATGAGCAACAACAAGGTTTTGAAGTGTATTAAACAAAAAGGAAACTTATAATCAACACCATGAAGAGGAATTTGAATTTGGGGGGGGGGCACGTAGTGAGGAAGTAGGGTTTGGAAAATCTGATACTCAGAGGACGGATTGAGGGAGAGAAGAAAGCAGCACGTAATGTACTTGATGATCTTGAGCAAATGGATAACAGAACAGGGTTTGGGAGAAATAACAAAAAGACAGAATTTAGTAAGATCTACAAGGGACAGAAAGATGTGGAGGGCCATGATCGCCTACGCCCTATTTCTTGTAGCGCTTACATTGCTTAGCTTTTAGAAGGCATTTTTGCTATTTCAATGCGCGTTCGGATTTCGGTGTCACATTCTCTATTAAAACAATTCTATGACATTTAAAATTCCTTGCTGCACACTGTTAGCAGAGCGGTCATGTTGACACTATAACAACAGCGAGAAAACCTCGACCAAGAAAAGCTTGAATCACGTGACCACAATAGTACCAACTATAAGCACGCCTGATAAGAAGGCAGTATGATAAACCTAAAGTTATCTCATGGCGAAAGTGTAGACAATTTTTTTTTACTTACCCTAACATTAGTTTCTGAAATTTAGTGGTCTAATGTCGGCAGAAAAGACGTAATTATAAAATTTATCCAAATTCAAACCATTTGATACGCAACTGGAAGATCTCTGCTTCGGTTTAAAATTTGCCACTGAACCATCGAAACATGATATTACAGATTTCATTTGCGTATCAAATGGTTTGAATTTGGATAAATTTTATAATTACGTATTTTCTACAGACATTAGACCACTAAATTTACAGTGACCAAGTAAATGGTTAAAGAAATAACAAAACAAGTGTTACAGATATGTCATATGTTAAACAGTAAGTAAAAGTATTACATGACTAGTGTGTGTGTGTCGGTTGACCCAGCGCTCAATCTATTTGACTGTTCTCCCAAGGCCTTCTCTCCTACTAATCTTATAGTAGGCGGAAGATTCCAAAATAGACTCTTTAGAGGTAGGACACCACAACGTAATGACAAGGATTTCAGCAAATTGTGAATCTTACCTTTGAAAACTTTGTAAGTAATTGGAAAGCCAGATTTGGAGATGACCGGGTTCCATTTAACTTTGACCTCTGACGCGCTAATATCTGCAAAAAGAAAATGAAATAATAACAACAACAATAATAATAATGTATAACTGGCCACTCGTATTCCTTATTGCAGACGCTTGCTCTGGCGCATTTGTGCTTATTCAACACCCACAGTGCCCACCTGTGGTTTATACTGCAACTATGCGGAGCAGACCTTAGTTACAGTTTCAGGGAAAGAGTGTGTTAATCTATCATGATCAACAATTTGAACAAGGCCAGCATGTTCAATGACTTGTGACTTCGTGCTAGCACAACTATCGACGGTCTCCAAGGGTTACGTCTACCCAATTTCACTCACAAGGCTTGGTATGGTTTCCAGGCACTTTCCAATGGTGCTGCACGCTGGGATCGACCCCTCCAGTCCGATATCATTAGGAAGACAAATGGTAAAGATTCGAACCCGGGTCTCATGGTCAGAATGCGAACGTTCTAACCACTCGGCCACGAGCTCATCATCATCATCATCATCATAATAATAATAATAATAATAATAATAATAATAATAATAATAATAATAATAATAATAATAATAATAATAATAATAATAATAATAATAATAATAATAATAATAAAGTAATAACATCACACAAGCCTCAGGTCATAATGAAAAAACCGAAATACACACAAATCACTGTGAAGATAATGCTGAAAATTTAGAAATGTTGGAAAGGTATGATCTTAGTCAGTCACAAGACGGTAATAAAACGAGTTCAAAATTCATCGAACAGAATTATTTCACAGAAAACAAGATTAATATACAAGAAGCCAAGGATGAAATCATGAGCCATATAAGTCAGATACAGAATATTGCAATGGAGGAACGAGAACAACTCCCAAAATTACAACCAACAAAGCATAACCTCAAAACTATTAAGCTCTATAATGCAGCACTCAAATTGATTCTGGATGAAGAAGACACTCATATAAATCTCAATGAAGCAATATATGCATCAGCAATAGCAGCAACAAATAAACTGAACATCAAAGTAAAAAAAAAAGGCAGTCTCACAGACATGAAGATCCACCTTGGAAAAGAAAAATAGAAAAAGAAATTGAACACCTTAGAAGTGAATTATCAGTACTCGATGAACTAGCAAGAGGAGTAAATGTAAAGAACTAGAAAAGGCAGAAGAGTCGAAAGAAAATACAATATCAGGAATGAAAATGAAGTCCTATCAACTAAAGAAAAATAAAGCAAACAATACAACTGAAGGCTCAAAAAGAATAAGACGCTACGAGAAAAGATCAAGATTCTATAGACAGAACAAGATCTTTCAAACCGATGCAAAAGAAATTTTACAGGGAAATAGGTAAACAAAGAATTGAAGTGACAGTCCCCCTAAAATGGAAGAAGTTATACAGTTCTGGGGAAAAATATGGGCTTGCCCTAAAGAACACAACGAAGAGGCAGATTGGATTGCGCAAGAGTTAGAACGAATGAAAATAAACCAGAACAGACATGGGCGGGAATCACAGAAGAAGATGTTAAATGTGCACTGAAAAAAAAGCACACAACTGGAAATCTCCAGGAATAGATAAAATTCCTAACTTCTGGCTATATTATTTAAATACAGCACACAAAAAAACTCGCCAAAGAACTTCAAGAAATGGTTACCGATCCAACTAAAATTCCTGCATGGATGACCAAAGGAGTTACCTTTCTTCTACCCAAAATAGTGACACAAATATTCGAAAAACTATAGACCAATTACATGTCTTCCAACAACATACAAACTGTTAACATCTATTTTAACAAAACAGACATATTTCTTCTTGGAAAGAAATGACATACTACCACTTGAACAAAAAGGGGTGCAACGAGGCTGCTACGGATGTAAAGACCAATTACTTATTAATAGGATGATCCTGGAAAACTGCTTCCGTGGAAAAAAAAAAATCTTAGTATTGCCTGGATAGATTATCGTAAAGCATTCGATAGTGTACCCACATTCCTGGATCTTAAAGTCTTTAAGTATGTACAAGGTATCACCCGTTATCATCAATTTCATCAAACAATGTATGTCGATATGGAAAACTACACTTTACCTCAATCATAAAAATGGAACCTATAAGTCTGGCGAAATAAACATCAATAGAGGAATATTTCAAGGTGACTCTTTGTCTCCTTTATTATTTTGCATATCACTTATAGCATTAACCAGCCAACAACAAGACAGAATGCGGTTACAAAATAGCTCAAAAGAAAATAAACCATCTATTTTACATGGATGACTTAAAATTGTATGCTAGGAATGACAATGAGCTGGAAGGTCTTCTGCAAACTGTAAAATGCTTCAGTGAAGACATTGGAATGAAATTCAATTTGGATAAATGTGCTAAAGCTACAGTTTTACGAGGATCGCTACAACAAACTTCCTCTATTAGTTTAGACCCTTGTAACAATAAAAAGATTTAGAACAAGGAGAAGCTTATAAGTACCTAGGTGTAAATGAGAGTGAAGGAATTCACCATAAGAAAATGAAAGAAATAGTGCGTAAAGAGTACTATAGAAGGGTACGACTGGTATTAAAAACTGAATTGAATTCTCAGAACAGAATTATGGCCATTAATAACCTTGCCATCCCAGTGGTCCAATATAGTTTCAACATCTTGAACTGGACTCTAAATGACATCAGACAAATGGATTCTAAAACAAGAAAGCTTCTTTAAGTATAAGATGCATCATCCAAAGGCTGATGTAGACCGTCTATACATACCCCGTAAAGAAGGTGGAAGAGGTCTTATTCAGCTAGAATTGTCATACAAGACAACAACTATTGGCTTACTAACTTACATGGAAACAACAAATGACTGGATGATAAAATTAGTGAAACAACATGAAAACAGAAAGAAAAAAATATTCAATAATAAAAAGAAGGCAGTAAATACAAACAACATTTACATTTAGTAGATTCTGTAGTAAATCAAAACAGAAGCCAAGAACCAACTATTGCAGCAAAAGATATGAAAAAGAAAGCCAAGGATAAAGCCCTTGAACAGATGAAACAACGCTGGCAAGACAAAACCTCTGCATGGCCAATATCCAGAACGTGCAAATAAACCCAATGTTGATAAAGTTAATACTCATCGATGGTTTACGAGCATCTGGATTAAAGTCTGAAACTGAAGGCTTTATTCTTGCAGCGCAAGACCAGAGTCTTTTCACTAGGAATTTTCAGGCAAATATCATACATAATAATGTGGATCCAAAATGCAGGTTCTGACAAATACCAAGAAACAATAGACCATCTAATCTCAGGATGTTCTATACTTGCCCCAAATGAATATAAAATCGTCACGATAGAGTGGGGCAATACTTACACTGGACAATGCAAACACTTTGGAAAATGTGTAAGCAAACATAGTATGAACATCGGCCAGCGCCGGTTACAGAAATAGAAGATGTCACCATTCTGTGGGATTATACCATCCACACAGACAGAAAATTGAAGCAAATAGGCCGGACATTATTGTCAAAAAACCAGAAAAAAAAAAACTTTGCCTACTAATTGATATGGCTTGTCCAGCGGATTGTAACATAGCAACCAAGGAATTTGAAAACTATCAAAATACAAGGACCTGGAAATTGAAATAGAAAAAATGTGGAAATTGAAAACAAGAATAATACCAGTGGTAATAGGTGCACTTTGGAATTATAAAAAATGAACAAAACAACACATTGAAAGAATCCCTGAAACCCCAGCTTAAAGAGACATACAGAAAATTGTCTTATTAAGTACAGCACACACACTAAGGAGAACTTTGTCTATGTAACGCTAGCAACTTCATCGGAGATAAAAAAAAAAAAAAAAAAAAAAATTAATATGAAATGTGGCCTATAACAACACACCACGACCTGCCTTAGGTCTTTCCGCAGACTTAGGTAGTGTGTCCATAGCAGAAATAATAATAATAATAATAATAATAATAATAATAAAGAAAGAAAAAAAATGGAATGAATGACTGTCCAGTCATGATTGTCGGGTATTCAGGATTCTACCTAAACTGGAGGAATTAGGATCAAAAACCGAAGAAATTGATGACCGCACATAAAGATCTTACGCTCCGATGGTGATGGACTATATGAAATACTAGCTTAAAAGCCGCCCTATCGGGCGACATTTAAGCTAGCTCCTGCAGAGAGCTCTTGATTGGGGCTTTGGCTTGATTAGGAGTTTGAGAGTCCCTAAGTCTTTTGCATATTCTCAGCATTGGAAGCTCTCCTGGTAGCTGTTCGATCTGGGTTTTCAATTGCACAGGACTTTTTTTTTTTCTTTGCTGCAGCTTTGGCTCTTTTGATTGCAATCTGGTCCTCAGGCTTCGCATACTTCTGCCCTATACGATAGTCAACAATAAACTACAGAAGAACTCGAATTGATCCTGCATTTAAGTATTGCATTAATATTTTATCTTACTGTTAAAAGTTCAACAATAATTCTTCCGCCGCCATTTAATTTAAAGACAATTTGATATCCTTACATTCCGTAGAATCAATTATTTTCATTTTATGGGTGATTTTTGCTGTATTTCGTAATTAATTTTGATTATTCTCAAATTTAATTCCAAGTTTTAAAATGTTATCGTACAAAATTTCGTCGCAAAAAAGAGTTGTGTCCCTTTAATGGAAAAAATGTGACGCAGTGACACACTGGCATTCGCAGTTATTATACAGAAGGGAGACTGAGGTTTATAAATGGATAACATTGAGAAATGCATCGATCCTGTTATCTAGGGTTTTGAGGACTACACAAGAGTAAGGAGATATTAATTATGGCTGTTCACTGATTGACTATTGTTGCGGGTGTGCTGTGGATCACTTGTTAGTGATGCGTTTTGGCTGCGTGTTCGTACAAAGGAGTCCATAAACAAAATGCTTTGAAGATAGTAAATTGACAACAACAAGGCAATAGTATTTGATTAAAATAAAACCAAAGTTCTATTTCTTAGTAACAAAACCAAAACTACATACAAAGATATTTATGCAAATAGGATAATTGATTTCAAGGATGTGCTGAAAAGAAAACATCAAATTATGCTGAGTAGTCCTTCCAAAGTATAAAGAATCATTATGCAAATGATTTAGACAAGCAGTAACCTTTGTTGTGCAGTACATCTCTTAATCGCTTCATCATTGAACAAGTTGCATTATTTTCCTAGATTCAAGGTAACCTAGAAAAATAATGCAACTTGTTCGATGATGAAGCGATGGGTACGTAACAACTTTGTGTGTGATTTTAATGTACAATAATAATATGATATGATATTTGTAACGTCTAATTTATTGGGTAATATAAGTGTAAAGGTGATTAGGGGGGCTTATTTCATGTCTAGAGAGCTCTTATGATAACAAAAACCGTATTTAGATGGTCGTAAACAGGTTTTCTAAGCTCTAACTATGAAAATATTCGATTTATAAATAAAGAATCCTACTTCTCAGAAATCTACTTATCGCGGTAGTGTTTGTAACTGGTTAACCACGAGGACTATATATATATATATATATATATATATATATATATATATATATATATATATATATATAAGCAGTGTTTGATTCCATATATTTGTATGTGGGGTGTGGATGATACAATCAATAAAAGTTTTTAAAAAATGTATTTAAATGATGTAGTGCGTGAGTTGACTGACATGATCAAATCCTCCAATGATTGGTGATTGTCTAAAACAAATGACTTTGCAGAAAATTAAGACAAATTGGAAACTTACTTTGCACTTTGGGGGGATCAGGTTTTGGAAGTCTTTTAAGAAACTCGAGCGCTGACGTCACTTCCGCTTTTAATTCTGCATTTGGATTTTCTTCAAGAACTCTCTATTAAAAAAAAAAGGGATAAAAATAAACGTTTTTGTTATGTGTCTGTAGGATTCATAAAAACATCCGAAACAAAAGTGAAAATGATGAGACAAAACCGAAAATTTTTCTTCAATGACGCATGTCATTAGAGAGAAATTTTTTTTTAGTCAAACTGATGACGCCAAATAGGCTGTATGCTTTCTCCGACGAAATGCGTCTTTGATAAAAAAATTTCTACTTTGACTCATCATCTTCAAAAACGTTTTCTTGTAATACAAATTTAGTGACTTTTAATTTCGAAAAATAAAAATAGAAACTATTACTTTTAATAGAGTATGAGGTCTGATCAAAAAGTATCAGGACTGCTGCTATAACAAAAAACTACAGCACATATCAATTCAATATTTAATCCCCTTTGAAGTAGTCCTTTACTGTATTCAGTGTTGTTTCCATTGATAAAATCATTCCTGTTACTCCTTTTTTGTGATAGCGAATAACTGCCTCGTCGCATCCTTTTGGGTTCCCTCGACGACTTGCAATCGTGTTCCTTTCAAGTGGGATTTGATTTTTGGAAAGAGGAGAAAATTGCAAGGGGCGAGATCTGTAAAATATAATGTTTTTCGTATCTGGGGAATGTTGTATTTGGCCAAAAACTGCTACACAAGCTGCGCTGAATGAGCAGATGCGTCGTCATCGCGGAGTTGCCACTCACCGGACGCATGCAATCCTGCCCTTTTCCGACGAACAGCATCCATCAAACGCCGCAACACGTCACGGTAGTACTCCTTGTTTACTGTCTGACCAGGTGGAGCGTACTCATGAGGGACAATGACCTTTTAGTTGAAGAAAACTGTCAGAACTTTCTTTACATTGATTCGACTCATTCGTGCTTTCTTCGAGAAGCTGGGAGTGTTCCATTACGAAGACCAAGACTTCGTTTCGGGTTCATAGCCCACGATTCGTCACCTGTTATGACCATTTTCAAAGTTTTTTGGTGTTGTGAGACGACCACACTCAGCACACTTTCCTTCCAAACACTGCTATAAACAACGTAAGTGAGCGAGAATGTTATACTTTCTGATCAGATCTCGTATATAAACCGACATTTTATCTCTCCAAATAGCAGATATGTAAATGCCTAAAAAAATGATTCTGTTTTGAACTGGACTAAAAGAGAACAAGGAATGACGTTCCAGTATCTGTCTATATTTCTGAGATGAGGTATTATGTACATTATTTACATTATTCGGACTATTGTCCTCATCTTTGTCGCCATATTTATTACTACGTTTCGGCCGTTGTACGCTCTGGTCTTCTTCAGGTGGTTGGAATGTTGAACTTAACCCTTTATTTCGCTCACTGGGGTAGACTGTTCTAGTTCCACGTGCCATGTTTAATGGATGTCAGTTGTCAGTTATCTTCTGTTAATTCCCCTCTGAAAGTTCTCTACTGCCTTAACCGGGTATTGAACTCACTCTCTTTGGGTCCTGTCACTGGATCTAACTAACGCCTTTATTCACTGTGTCATGTGTCCTTGAGGAACAGTCTACCCCAGTAAGCGAAATAAAGGGTTCAGTTCGACATTTCAATCACCTGAAGAAGGCCGGGGCGTACAACGGCCGAAAGGTTGTAATAAATATGGCGACAAAGATGAGGGTAATTGTTCGAACAATGTAAATAATGACGTTCCAGTATCATTCAATATACTACCCAACAATTATTTTAGCCAAATTTCGAAACAATAAAGCCCCCATAACACACTACATCGATGCCTTTTGGGACGGTGGCATAGTTGAAATGTGTTACTGCCATCTACTAGTCGTGAATTCTATCCCTCGATTAGCAAAACAATATACACCGATTCAGCAGGAGCGAGCAAAAACTGAATCGACCTGAAGATGGGCAGCTGATCGAAACGTCGTACCTATAATAACTAAAGTGAGAAAATAGTTCGCATGAGTTAAAGTACTGGGTTGGAATATATATAGATATATTCAAAAAACATATGGGTCACTTTGTTCCAATATCTCTTGCCATCTTTGAAACAGCTTCATGATTCCATTCTCACAGAACGTGGCTTCTTTTGGGTGATGAACTGGTCTAAGTGACTTTTATAGGCTTCCGCAGAATGTTCTTCCCATTAATAGATTTTTGTAAAATAATCAACCTTTCGCCTATTTCTAAAGCAGATAATTACATGTATTGTCTTCTATAGTGAAAATGGCTGAGACACATTTAACAAAATGAAAAATCACCTTGAATCTTTTTAGTAGTGTGGCCCACATTATGAAGAGCCATATCTGATGCACCCCACTGGTTAGAAAAAGTTGCTCATGCCCGATTTAGATATCTGTACATAAATTTATTCAATCACATGTGCCATTTTGTTTCACTAACTTTTGCCATCTGAAGTAGATTCAGGATTCTATCCTCTCAGAATTTACCATCTTTCAGGGTGATGAACTGGTCTAAGTAATTTTTACCAACAAAGAAAATTAAAGTTCTTCCCATTAATAGATTTTTGTAGGGATTGAAATAAATGATAATCCAAAGATACAAGGTCAGGTGAGTACGTAGGTGTAGGTTTCTACTACATCTAGAAAAGATGCAAGGTCTGGTGTTGTCCTGATTTAAGATAACACCCTTCTGATTAACCAATTCTAGACACTTTTTCATTGATTAGGGAACAGTACTTGTCTAAATTCATTGTGGAAGAAACTTGTAATACACAATGTTCTTCCAAATCAACCAGATACACAGCATCATCTTCTTTGGATGCAGACTGGTTTGTGAAGTGGTTAATGGTGACTCATTTCATTTTCAAGGACCTTTTCCACCCCAGAACATTGTAAAGCAATCCCTTTCTACCATCTCAGCAAAGAGACATGAGTTTTGGTGTTATACTGATGGAAGATAATACTCTTCCAATTGGCTAATTCCACATATTTTTCATCGATTGCTGCCTTTAACCAGTCCAATTGGAAAGAATAATTGTCTAATTTCAATGTCTGAATTTTCAGAAAAAAGCTCCTAATACACAATGCTCTTCCAATCAACCAGATACATAGCATCATCTTCTTTGGATGCAGACTGGTTTGTGGGGTGGTTAATGGTGGCTCATTTCACTTTCTCCATAGTATTTTTCAATCCACTTGTTGAAAGCAATCCACTTTTCATTGCCTGTGAACGCTCTTTAAAAAAACTGTTTTTGTTGCGTTTAAGCATAAACCTCGGCGATAGAAACGTGGCCCATTAAATAGAAGTAGGATAAGAAAAGATGAAGGACATTCCAGCCAAGCTGTACCCGATTTCTGCCGGACCTGCAAAGAGATGTAAGATCTGGCGTTGTCTTGATGGAAGACGTCACCCTTCCGATTGATGAATTTCAGACGCTTTTCGCCGACTACTGCCTTTAATCAATCCAGTTAGGAACAAGACTCGTTTGGATTCAATGTCTGATTTTGCAGAAGGAGCTCGTAATACACAATGCATCTACAATCCAACCTGATACTCAACATCACGTTCTTCAGGTGCAAATCAGCTTTTCTGTTGTCAAACCAGCTTTTCCGTTGTTCATTGTGTTTACTATACGACCTTTTTTCGCTCCACATTGTTGTAAACGGTCCATTTTTCATCGCCTGCGATCGTTTTTTTTTTTTTGTCGTTTTTATCAAATAATTGTAGATGGAAATACGGTTCATTGTTTTTTTTTTCGTCACGGAGCGATTCGAGCGTTTTCAAATGTCTTACAATGCACATATGATATATATGAAGAGTATCTCTGCGACGTCCCGTAGTGTAAAAACCCGCATCAGTTTAAATCGGCATATCGATTTGGTCACCACCAACGCCTGCTGGCTTGCTGGAACGTTTTTTGATTTTCCAGATGAAAATATCCACTTCTGAACCTAGCAAACCACTTACAATCAATGCTCTCAGCTACGGCACCATCTGCATAAATGGCACACATCTCTTTTGCTGTTTGTACAGTACTCTTTTTTCCTTTCCGGAAATAAAAGAGCATCAAATGATGAATATGGATCTCATTTTCCTCCAGTTTTCACTTTTAATGTAAAACATTTGAAATTCACAACCCATGTCCGAATCATGCAGAAAGACACGTTGAAAATTTACTATTCCCAATATGTACGCCTGAGTGGCTTTTTTTGTGTCTTGAAGTGCCTTGAAGTGCCGTTGAAGGCACCGATACTTCAAAACTCAGAGATACTTACCTGGTGTAGGGATCCGTCCCTGCGCTGGTAGTATCACAGCTGTGATTAGCTTAGACTAGCTTAGACCAACTTGAACAAGCTATGGCCAGCTTAGACCAGCGGCCTGAGTGAAAACACTCAGGTCCTCACGTTAAAAAATGACCTTCTGTCACAACTTGACTCAGTGGGGGTCAAGTAAATCTCTGCTTAAAGACTCAGAAAAGCCACAAGTGAAACGAAAGCACGAACGCCACCTATTAAAAAACTTACCAAACTTTTCTTCCAGTCCGGCTTCAGTCCCTTTCCCACTGCTGTAACGTGGATTCCCTCTGCCTTTTCTACAAATACTTTCATGTTAATTTTTTTCTGAGGAACGTCCCTCTATGGCACCTAGACTTTATGAATTTAAGTGCAGTACTAGATTGGCAACAAGGTTTCGTCATTTTACAGATGAAATGGCTATATGCAACCGTAAGTTCTATTTTAACAGTTTCTTCTCTCACACTTCTCGCTTGTGGAACCACCTCCCGGCTTCTTGCTTTACAACCAACATTGATCTTCAAAAATCTAAATGCTATGTCAGTCGTTATCTTCTGTCTTCTTGATTTCGGTTCTTTTATTCTTCTCTGTTAATATTTTTTTTTCTTTTTCTTATATTGTTTCAGATAGAGTAACACCTTGCGTCTTAGTGGCTTTATTACCTTGCTTGGGGTAAAACGGTTAAAAAATATTGACAATTTCGCATATTCCTCATCACAAAAGTAAAATATTTTTCCTTCAATCTATGTTGCGAATATGGCGGCACGGTGTTAATCTTTTGGATTTTTTATGGTATCAACTACGATAATAAATGCGAGAAAAATATTGGTTCTAGTTATTCAATAAATCTGACACATGTCCATAGTATTAGAGCACGCAGTAGGTATTAAATTTACTATACTGTTGGTTTGGATTAAACATATACAATCTTCTACGATTATTTTGATAAAAGATCAAATTATTGAGGGGTCTGGAAATGAACGAAATTTATACACTAGTGAATTTGTCTATGGTATGTGTCATATCGGAGATAAATGAATAGAATCGTCCGGTTATATAAATAATTTAAGGAGCTGAGCAGAGTTAGCGTTAGGTCTTAGCCATGCGCTAAGCTCTTAGTGCTTGTCGAACTCTGTGCCTTCAGGCAGAGAGGAACCCAGACGAGACTATGCCGAAGGGCAAAGTCTCGTCTGGGGAGGTAGACAAACCCGACTCCGTTATTACGAGGTCTACTGGGATTCTTTGCCCGGGCCTTCAGGCTCGGAAAAAAAAAACACGTTAAACCAGCATTGTGCCACATCCCGCTCTGTGAGGATCTCGGATAAATACTGAGTTAGCATTAGGTCAATTGCTAAGTGTATCATCGTGTAGCAAATTTTCTTTTTTTATTACTTACCGACAAGTTTGTCTTCCTTATTTATTTTCTCTGTTATCTTGAAAACACGAGATACAACAATAATCTAACTAAAAATTGCGTGATAATAGTCTTGTTGCAGTTTAGTCTTACACAAGATCATACTCGTGTTGCACCCGTAAATACATACGCTTATTATCTAAACTGGTTAACTTTCTGTTAGTAGAACATTGTTACAACATTTGTACCGTTGTGTTATCAGGGAGCAGATTACAGATATGCTAGAGATATAATTCCCATCTTAATTTTTCTTATTTTTATATGATAAATAAAAAAATGCTTCTATTTTAAAAATCGAAACAAAATGCCAGTGTTAAAAATGTTCTTACTTTCATAGTTTTTCAATAGAAGTATTTTTCCGTATCTGAAGGCATCCTTTGGGCAGGCTGGCTAATGTGTTTAGCGCTCTGAAATTGGAAGGGATTTGTTTAATAGTGTAGAAAGATAAGTCCATGCATACGCAAGAAATAAGGACAGAAAATTATCTATCTATCTATCTATCTATGTCTATTATCTATCTATGTCTCTCTCTCTCTCTCTCTCTCTCTATATATATATATATATATGTGTGTGTGTGTGTGTGTGTGTGTCTATATCTATCTATCTCAGTACATATCTATCTATCAGACAGTTTTCTATGTAACAATAAATTATTGATTACACTAGGAACTTCCTGTTGATTATCTATCAATATATATATATATATATATATATATATATAGCTATTTCAGTCATATCTATCTATTTATCTCTCTCTCTCTCTCTCTCTCTCTATCTATATATATATATATATATATATATATATGTGCGTGTGTTTATATCTATCTATCTATCTATCTATCAGTTTATTTCTATTCATGTAATTTTCTATCTAACAATAAATGATTGTTTACACTAGGAACTGTCTGTTCATTATCTATCAATGTATATATATATAGCTAGCGATTTCAGTCATATCTATCTATCTATCTATCTATCTATCTATCTATCTATCTATCTATCTCCGTCAGTTTATATCTATTTCAGTTTGTCTCTCTGTCTCCCTCTCTCTATCTCAGTCTGTTCGTACCAAATATTACGTGGGAAATAATGGTTAGAACTAAATCTTGCAATGGTAAAGGTGAAAGATGTTATCCTTGCCTTCTTGAAAAACTGATATTCTAAAATATATAAATAACCCAAATTTACTAAACAAAAGAAATGAATTAATGGTCCCATGTAGGCATAAAAATAAATACCTCTTGAGAAATGTTGAACCAGATTGATTTCATTGCAAGCCATATATCTTCAGGTTTTAAAAATATTTATCGATTTTTTTACGTTGAGATTTAGATTTATGCTTGTACATTTACTAGTATATATAAATATATTCATATTTACATGTATGTACGTTTACGTTCTTTTACTAGTGTGTATTTTGTATGTATGTATATTTTGTCATTTCTTTTAGATAGGATGGATGTGTATTCATATGCATGTATTCACAATTACATGAATCATATGTGCGTGTGTATGTATATATATATTGTGTTATTCGTATATAAACTATATTTCAAATATATACATTAGACTTATTGGAAATTTTATATTTACATGTATGTGTGTGTGTTCGTGTGTGTGTGTATGGATATATATTTCATGTGCATCTACCCACACACACACACACACACACACACACACACATATATATATATATATATATATGGGTGTGTATGGATATATATATATATATATATATATATATATGTACACACACACACAAAGAAATAATCACACATAGAATCAATCAGTAATATTAATGGTATTATTGGCGACATCCATCGCTAGTAGTGTATAATGTATGCATTAAAATACTGTTAATCCATACATTGACGTGATCCTCGTCTATAAAACTGTTGTCTGTTGTTTCCAGTTTATATTTTTTTAAAATGCAAGTACTTTCGAATAATCCTTTATTCATCGTCAGGCATATGTTTTCCTTATAAAATCAAAAACTTGAAGACGAAATAATTGTTTGTCGACCGAAAGATGTTTTTTTTGAGTATGTGCTATTATTGACGGTTGTGCAATGACGCAACGCTAAGTTTTTCAAAATTTTAAGTGAGAATTTTATTTGAACTTTTCTTGTGATGTGGTAAATCAACGTATTCTATTTTACAAGTGTTTTCAGTTAATATGTCATGAACTAAGTATATAGTTCAATTAATATAGTGTTATGTCTTAGTAGTAGTTTTTTTTTTATAGGAATTTTTTGTACTGCGGGTCGATAGTTTTTTATAAACATAAAACATTAGGCAGCATATAATATATATATTATGAATAGATGTGTATGAATGAACATTTATCGATGTGCTTGCATTTATATTTTGTATGAATATAAGATCGGACATGTTGGTATGTAGATAGATATAAATAAATTTTGTATGTATACCTTTCTACATCTCTGTAAATGTGGGTGTATATTATACAGGGTTTATCAAAAATACTTTTGAAAACTTTGGGGCGAGTTCCTCACACCAAAACAAGGACAGAAGGTCATATAAACATATGTCCACAAATCCTTCCTTTTTGACTTATTAAGTTTACGTTAGTCTAAGTTAGAAAGTTTACGGTAGATGGCCACGTGGACTAGGTTACATTTGTCATTCGTGTACATTTGTGGCTAGTCTGTTTTCAACATTTAACGTGTGTAGTTGTTAGTTAACTGTGAAATGCATATCTCTCTATCTATCTACAGGGTGCGATGGGTAAATTGTCGCCATTTTGTATTTTTAATTTCGCGCATGCGCGTTGTTTGTTTTTGATTTTGTTGACTGCACAGAATAGTAGGGTCAGTTGGGTACCGTCTGTGAGAAAAAAAAGCACCATGACGCAAATCACTCCGCCAGAAATTTGGAAATGGCATGCTGTACTGCTTGGCATTCGCACCGGGAAGTCTAATACGAACATTTCAGAGTGTTTGGGTGCCAATCTGAGTAAAGTCCAAAGGATTCGGAAAGAGTTGGATGATATATTCAGTTAACATCACGAATACTTTTTTCACCCATTAAAATGGATGAATGGGATTTATTTCTATTAAATCATTTTTTTTCTTTTGTATATATTTTTTTCTATGAATATTTAGTTATTATGCATCTTTGTACAGTTAATTATATGAAAAGTATGTTTATTCATTAGTTGGAAATACAATAAATTAAAGATTTGTATGTGTACGAATATTTGTTTCCTCCACTCTATATAGATATAGATAGATAGCTATGTAAATAAAGAGATACATACATACATAGAGAGATGGTGGGAATAAGCGTGTTATGGATATACAGTGAAAGATTGAATGATATATATGTGGAGAGAGTGAGTGAGTGAGTGAGTGAGTGAGAGAGAGTGAGATAGAGTGAAAGATAGAGAGAGAGAGAGTGAATGAGAGAGAGTGAGAGTGAGAGAGAGATTAAGACAATTGAAGCAAATATGATATAAAAATATTATCATTGAATCAAATATGATATGAAAATATTATCACTGTATCAAACCTGATATGAAAATATTATCATTGAATATATTATCACTGTATCAAACATATGAACATATTATCATTGAAGCAAATATGATATGAAAATATTATCACTGTATCAAATATATCTAAGTTTGGCAAAGTTGTTAAGGTTTTTTTTTCAAAGGGAGCCATGTAAAAATTTTATAAATTAGGGCCGAGAGGTGACCCCATAGCTAAGCTTTCTGTCTCTGTGGAAATGTTACCATAATAATCATAAAAAGGTACTTTTATTGTGCAGAATAAATAAAGTCTATATAGAATTGTTAGCTTAATATTGAGAGATGAGAGCAAAGCATGTTTATGGTAAGAGTCAGAAGTGGATGAATAAAACTCACACGGCAGAAAACCATCCGGTTTCTTGATCTTCGGCAAATAAAAGTCTGGCTAAAGTACACAGAATTTCGGAACAAAAATACGAAGAAAGAATTTTGTCTTGACCCCATTTCTTGTTTGCCAGACAACTGATAGCGAAGCAGGCGTTCTTACTCCATCTGACGTCATCACTATTCAACATTTTGTACAGCTGCGTGACCTTCAACAAAAAAAAAAAAAAAAAAAAAAGGAAAGAAGAAAAGATTTAATTGATTCGTTACCTGATTTGTATTTTAAATTTGTGGTTATCCACCCTTCTTTGATCTCAGAAAAGGCATGAACTCTAAATCTCTCATATCCTTGTCTTCTCATTAATTATTTTGTTCTTATTTTCATATGAATTAGTATTAGTTATCGGTACGAAAAGTGGGAAGGGTTTATGTTCCGACAAAGTTCGTTGAGTCCACTTTCGCACTAACACCCTTGGGAAAGGCATGAATATTTCTCTTCTCGTCCCACCCAGCTATAAGTTAAATAACAACGTAGAGAGTGATCTTCAGCCTTGGTTGGCAGTCAGTCAAAGAGAAAGACTACTCTCAATTCAAAAGCGTGGAGAAGACAATGGAAAAGCAGACTACATCTATCCCAAGAAGTCATAGGTCTTCACAGTTATTAAAGAAAAAAGGAAACCTGTGGAGAGCCATAATTGTCTACATTCTTAAGGGGCATGACATTTTAAAATAAATATTAAAATGTTGGCCGAGGTGCATATCAAAAGAATAGGAATAGTCAAATCGAACATTATCTTCTCTTTATCATTACTGTCAAGGGTAATAGCAGTTTTTTTGTGTATTTTGTAAAATAAAGAATCTCTATCTATTATCAGTTAGCACATGGATAGATAAATAAGGCTTATCACCGGAGAACGCATCTGCCTGTTTGTTAGAGTGACCATCTAATCCCTGTCACTTTTGAATGTTCAGGCATATTTATTTTTGTTTTTTACTGTTAGGTTCACCGTGTATAAGGCTCAGGGGCCACTCGAGGTAGAGGGTTACGATAAAGGGTAGTTTATATGGATGGGAGGGAGAGATAACGGTTGGCTCTCGACTTGAACAAGTTAAAATTGTAGTGGTCGGGGAAACATCCTCTTGGAAGTCTGTTCCACAGGACAGTGGTTCACGAAAAGCTGCTGTTTGAGTGGAACTACTTCTCAGCCATGTAATACGGAGGAAATGTGAGTGGTTTGTTACTATTGTTTAACAAACATAGGGAGGGGCCAACCTATGATTTATACTGCATCTATTTTTTTTCTTTTAAGCATTTCACCCCAAGCAAGGCAGGAAGCCACTAGCACGCAAGGGTTACAGAGGATTTGGAGTGAGAGCAAATAGGAGTGATAGAGGAAAGGATGAGGAGAAGGATAGTGGATAGATCAAGGCAACTGGAGATGTCAATTGACATTACATTTGAATAGTTGGAGATTATAGCTATCAGGGAAACGGGAAAAGGAAATGGAGTTCCACAGGCGAGAGGTGCGAGATATGAAGCTATTGGAGTAGAAAAGACGGCTACATTTAACAGTTTCGACAGTGAAAGGGTGAGAGTGGGATGCCAGCCTCGTAGGATGCTTGAATTCATGGAGTCTGGGAACCAGAGAAAGCAGCTCATCGGAGCAATTACCATGAAAGTATTTGTAAAAATGACAGAGAGAAGCGACTGCAGACGAGATGCCAGATCAGGGCCAATTACATTGCATATCCGTCTCTGGATCTTATCAAGAACCACGAGGCAAACAGAAGGGGCTCCAGACCCTATATGGCAGCAATACTCCCTGCAAGGGCGAATGGTTGATTTGTAAATTTGAAGGATCGATTCCGGGGAGAAAAATTTCCTGGCGCGGCACAGGGAGCCAACTTTCCTTGCGGTGGACGAAGCAATTGACTGAATGTATTTGCTCCATCTCGGGTCAGCAGTCAACGTGAGACCGAGCAGCCGCAAAGAGGTGCTCTCGAGAAGTTGAGCGTTAGACATTCTAATGGGGGACAGGGAAGGATCTCCGTGGTGATTAATAGAGAGCAGTTTTGTTTTTTGAGGCGTTAAAGTTAACCAGCCAATTCCTGCCCCAGTTCACAACTGATTGGAGGTCCTTTTCGAGACAAACGGCCAGGTTAGTTTTGTCAGCGACACTAGTTTTGTTTTTGAGGCAGGAGTAAATTGTAGTGTCGTCCGCGTAGATGCCAACTTGGGAGTCTATGTTGAGCGGACTTTAGTTAAAGTTTTTGGGAGAAAGTGCATAACTTGGCTTGATCAACAGTTTGAATAATACACAAACACTCGGTCACGACTGACTTGTGACTTCATGCCAACTTTTAGGGTTTTCAGACACTTTCCAAATGTGTTGCATGCTGGTATTGTTTTCCTTGTGGAATCGACCATGATGAGATTAGAATTAGAATCGTACGGCTAAAACGCTAAAATACTAACCCACTCGGTCATTTTCCGAAAATGGTTTTCATAAGAAAGAGAGAGAAAAAAAGCGTTTAAGGACGTTAATGTCAATTTTTTTACCATTTTTTCTAATCCATCATGGTTTTCCAAGACATTCTGTTCCATTTTCTGGTCGCAAAGACGTCCAATCGCAAATGCCGCGTTTGTCCCTCGACCTGAAATAACGGAAAATTATAGAACTTCAACAATTATCTCGCAAAACGATAACAAGACACAAGAGCCACTCAAGGCAGAGTGTCAATGAATGAGGTGCATGATATGAATATAAGAGTAGGAAGTGAATATTATGAGAATAAAGAGGATAGATAGCGATTGACCCTTGACTTGGAGTGTTCCAGGAAGCATCCACACAAGAGTCTGTTTCACTAAATGATGGTTGTTTGAAAAAAAGTCAGTCTGGAGAAATATGCGTGATTCAACTCCGCGGATGTAGTATGGCGAGTCCCAGCTCTGAAAGGTCTGAAAAGGGGAAACTAAAGAATGGAGTGTTCATCTGCTATGGAAATAGCAATAGGCTCGCGACATTGGTGTTTGTAGAATGGAAAATGTCACCCTTTACAAAACTGCGTAAACGGTTTTGAACACCATCAACGTTGGAAAGTGAGGATTGTGCAGCTCCAGCGCATGAATGACAGAAGTGCTCCAATTCGATTGATATGGTTCTTTCAAAGATAAAGCGTAACAGGAGGAGCCAGGTCCGTTTTGAAGCGGTGCAAGAAAACCGACCATTTTCCCTGTAACTCTATCATATATATATATATATATATATATATATATATATATATATATATATATATATATATATAGTTATCTTCTAAGCGTAGTTTAGATGTGGCACAAGGCCAAAGTATAGAGCACCCAGTGAGGATCGAACTCACTTTTCAGTCGTAACTGATCTAGCGAGACAGGGTTATATATATATATATATATATATATATATATATATATATATATATAAGCAAATATATGGATATAGATCCGACAGTATGAAGAAAAATACACAGAAAAACAAATAAAAATCTTAATATGCAATTATGCTATATTAATGTTAATATAAAGTCAACGTCGGACGTTTCGGTCTATTTTAGACCATCATCAGGACATATTCATAAAACATAATTAACATTAGAACATATAAAATTCAACATGAAAAGACGATGGACATAAGAGCACAACTAATCCAAACAGATAACTGAAATTTTTATATAAGATCAGCGTTCCGTTTAAATATGATCACGTCGTCGTCACGTGGGCATAATTGCATATTAAGATTTTGTTTGTTTTTTTCTGTATATTTTTCTTCATATATATATATATATATATATATATATTGAGAGGAAGACCCCGAAACGGTGCACATTCTCTCCTGATGACCCCAGTTTAAATATAAATTCGAGAGGAACCCATCAAAAGAAATTCAGTGAAGTCATATGCCGTAGAGAAGCCCGGTGGAAGTGTCATTGGCATGAGGAACATTACACATTCAGCACGCTTAAGGTGAGTTTCAATTACTTTCCAGTAATTTCCTTCTCCTTCTTATATATATATATATATATATATATATATATATATATATATATATATATATATATATATATTGAGGCAAGTGTTATTGAAGACTACGGAAATTTTCCGTTTAATAACCTGTTTTTTGATTATTTTTTGCTTTTTGTTGAAAAACAAAAAACAAAAAAAAACCCAGTCCCTGGTGTTTTCCCGCTCGTTTTCAATTGTCGTCAACCGTCATCATGGCTGTTTTTTTTTTTTTTATTTTTAGAGATAATATTTTGGGGTATTCATTGGAAGGGTAGTATTTCTTTTCTTCTTCTTCTTCTTCTTCTTCTTCTTCTTCTTCTTCTTCTTCTTCTTCTTCTTATTATTATATATATATATATATATATATATATATATATATATATATATATATATATATATATATATATATATATATATATATATATATATATATATATATATATATATATCAAGCATTAAATCTAGTTTATTTGTGGAGTATTTAAACATTTAAATTACTATCAAACGCTAAAATTTATGTTTTTCTAAATTGCCCAAACATCAAGCTATACCACCAATCTAACTTCATCTCTTATTTTTTATCTCTTTACTCCCCCCCCCAACTTTTTCTTTTCTTTTTTTTCCCCATATCATTTCCGGTGAGTTGATCGATTAAATAGGTCAATATCTTATCCTTACCACGCACTCCTCAATTTTAAGTATTGTAATAAAAGTAAAAGTAAAAATGAATTTTAAAACTCTCCCTTCCCTCTCTAATTTCGACAATGTCTCTCACACCATCTCTCACCACCCTCTATGTAACCTTATATAAACTTAATACTGCCCTTCAAAAGTGTAAATTTTAAATTCATGTTTTCACCCTTGAAAGTGAAGTTTGAAGATCCAGAGAAAAATAAAATCTCTGTTGAAATAAATTATAACAATGGAACCTTAAAGGAGTCTGTTTTTTTCTTTAAATTAAATTATTCGCTCTGACTTAACATTGATCTCTCCGGATTTCACCCTCCTTGGGATTATCCATACGGATTACCAAGATTTTCGTTTTAAATATATATATATATATATATATATATATATATATATATATATATATATATATATATATATATATGCGTATGTGTAAACTATTTTCAGATAGAGTATATATGTAAATGAACAAAATGAATAAGAGACAAGAGTAAAACAAACTCTTAGCCGACGCGTTTCATCCTCTGAGGGACTTTATCATTGTCTTGATAAAGTCCCTCAGACGACGAAACGCGTTGGCTAAGTGAAGTTTTTCTTTTGTCTTTTTATTTTATTATATATATATATATATATATATATATATATATATATATATATATATATATATATATATATATATATATATATATATGATCTTCTTGATGTAATAAGTTCTCATGTAGGTATTTATACTGATACATTACCATTTACACATGTCTCAATAGCAAATCCGTCAGAGCTAACAATTTTAATCTGGCCGCTGCTCTTGAAAAGAACCTCCAATCTGTGGTTAACTGGGGCAGGAAATGGCTTGTAAATTTTAACACTTCCAAAACTAAACTGCTCTCATTTAACCACGATAGAAAGACTTTCCTGTCCGCCATCAGTAAGGCTGATGCTAGTCTCACACTGCAAAGGAAAGTTGGATCACTCTGTTGTGTGAGAAGGCTTTTCTCGTCAGAGTCCATCTTGCTCTTTTACAAATCTACCATTCGTCCGTGCATTGAATACTGTTGCCGTATCTGGTCAGGTGCTACTGCTATTCATCTGAAGGTTCTTGACAAAGTCCCAAAAAGGATCTGCAATGTAATCGATCCTCACTTGACATCTCGATTTCAGTCACTTTCTCACCAACATGATATAGCTTCCCTCTGTCTTTTCTACAAATATTTTCATGGTTACTGTTCTGACGAGCTTTTCCCCTTGTTCCCGGATTACGTGAGTTTAAGCGTGCTACTAGATTGGCGTCTAGGTCCCACTCTTTTACTGTTTAATTAGTTAAATGTAACCGCTACTTTTACCCCAACAGTTTCTTTCCCCGCACTTCCCGTCAGTGGAAGTCCTTTGGATAATGGTTAACGATCTTGTCTGATTGACTATTACTAGTGAGTATGATACCTACTTGGTATCCAATACTTTTGGATTTGTTTAAAGGAAATATTGTAAGGTTAGATTATTTTTCAGGGCCCTTTTGCTTTGGGTAATGGTTAGTAAACAAATAAATAAATCGTACTTTTAATAAAGAAATAAATAAATTGTACCCTTAATAAACAAATAAATCAATTGTACCCTTAATAAAGAAATAAATAAATTGTGCTCTTAATAAATAATTACATAAATTGTACCCTTAATTAACAAATAAATAAATAAATTGTACCCTTAATAAACAAATAAATAAATTGTACTTCTAGTAAACAAATAAATAAATTGTACCCTTAATAAACAAATAAATTGTACTCTTAATAAACATAAGCATTTTTTAGACGCACCTGATGATCCGAGACTATTAATCAAATTTTCCAGGATTGTTTTATAGTTCTTATGATTGAGCAAACGATAGCAGCCGTCCTCACTAATTGACAGCCTGAAAAGAGAAAATAACGATAAATAAATGCATGCTGTGATTTTTCTGTCGTCTCAAAACAATTCAAGAATTAATAGTCACTAATCAATGGGCAAAACACGTTCACAACACTTTGATTTATTTTTTGTGTGGAGTTCTTTTTTCCTTTTTTACCTTCGCTATTCTTTTCGGCTCCAATGTGAATCTGCATAGATTCCTTACCATGACGCACTGGTTAGGCAAACTATTACTACGGTAGGAAATTCAATTCTTATGACCTGGTATACAGCACGTGGTGGTGAGGCTTAGAATACGTCAGTTGCATCTCCTACAGAGCACTCACACATAAAAAGGAAAGAAAGGTCTTTTCCAGAGTCGGGTATGAACCCGTCCGATGTTTACCTTTTGATACAAGTGTAAACAGGTTTTATGCTTAGCTTTTTTACTCTATTGTAAACCGGAACCTCGTTTACATTTTTGTCTCTAGTATAATTCTGACCTATGTCCACGTTTTTGACTCTCGAAGGTTTAACTTTTGATTAAAAGTTTAGCTTTTTAATTCTCGTGTAAACAGGACTTATTTCTACCATTCTGACTGTCATGTAAAGTGGAACAATGTCTACTTTTTTTTGTCTCTAATGTAAATCTGATATATGCGCACATTTTTGACTATTCGAGGAAATCGAAGATTTAATTTTTGATTAAAAGATTAACTATGTCTCCTTTTATGACTCTAATGTATAACTGGCTGTTTTTTTTTTATTCTCGATGCAATCGAACATATATCTACCTTTATGACTCTCGTGTAAACCTGACTTAGACGTAAACTTTTTTCTATATTCTAAGCCGGACCAACTTTTCTATATTTTAAACAGGATAAATATCTACCATTTTGGCTCTACATAGGCCTACACTTTAACTCTAGTTTAAACTGGACATAGGCCTACAATGTCTACTTATTTTCTATATTGTAAACCGGACAAATGTCTACCATTTTGACTCTAGTTTAAACTGGACATAGGCCTACAATGTCTACTTATTTTCTATATTGTACACCGGACAAATGTCTACCATTTTGACTCTAGTTTAAACTGGACATAGGTCTTCAATTTTGTCTCTAGTGTAAACCAGACCTATGTCTAGATTTTGACTTAAGTGAAAACCGGTTTGGGATCTAGCGTTCTGTCTTTTCACTCATGTATTTCTTGGACACATAATGAGGAAAGATGGGTTGGAGAATGTGACCCTGACGGAACATATTGAAGGCAAGCGAGATAGATGGAAGCCTACCTAACAAACACGTGTAAATGGATGGCAAAAGAACAGGGAGTATGGAGGATGGTGAATAGACAAACTTTCCAGTGGTGGAAAACCATGATTAGCGAAGCCCTGAAGGGACAAAGCACATAGAAAAAGAAAGAAACTCGATCAGTCTTTAGCTTTTTGACTGTTCAAATATTTAAATGCAATGTCAATCGACACTTTCTGTCTCCTTGGATCTTGTTCTTTTATTGTCTCCTCTGCTTCTTTTTCTTTTAGCAGCACGTATCATCCTCATAGCCTTCATTACTTTACTTTGAGTGTAAGCATTTTAAAAAAAATACGTTTTCTCTCAAGCTAAATGCTAAGGTAGTTACCTGTTATATTCTGTGCTAATAGGAATATATACTTGAGAAACAAGGTGGTTAAAATAAGTAAAGGTTTATTGTAAAAAAAAAAGTACAATAAGAATATAGGTAACAGTTATGCACAAGGTCGTCACAAGTCAATCCAGTAGTGAGTGCTACTATTGGAAGGTCGTAGAGTCAACAGATCCCAGCTCTGTAGTCCATTGACTTACAGATACTTATAGGTATTTACTACCTATAGTGTCGTCACTAATGTGGGTGACAGGTTATTCCATTACATCATTACCATTGTCAAGATCGAAAATGGATTTGGTTGAATAACAAAGCAATCAAACTATATAATAATTAGAAATGTGTATTTATTTATATATTTCCTGTCTCATCTGTAGTGGGAAGGGTGGCAAATCAACTTAAGTTAGTAAATGTATGAGTTATTATTTCCCTTGGTCGTTTTAGTAATTTATACAAATAAAATATTTACCTGCATTTAGAAAAGCTCCATTAGCTGCAGGGAAAATGAACCGTTTAATTAATCAGTTCCTTTACTACTACGTTTCTTAGATTGCAGTCTTATTTGTTCAAGCCTTTCATGTGAGGTACTCGGATTCCTTTATCTGTTAAGTTATTGTCTTGCTTCTAATTGGTTTTGAATTAGGCATTGTCGTCGCCTTCTTTGCCGTTCTGTTGCTAATCTTTTTCTTCCAAAAGATATTTCCGTTTCACTGTTATATGAGACTCATAAAATTTTTAACATGAGAAGATATTGAGCAAAAAATGATTTATATAATACCAGGAGTATCCCCGCTTTATTGAATCGTAACACATTGTTTCAAAATTTTTGTTTCATTGTGTTATATGCCATACCTATGAAAACTAATGGGCATGTCTCAATCCTCATAAATACGTTGGACACTATTGTAAGTGGAGGTAATATGGTGTTTAAGTAGTCCACCACTAGCCGTGGTTTACCTACTTCACGCCGCTGGCGAGTATTGTATTTTGTTGATGTTATAAAGATTACCATTTCATTTCCAACCTCCGTTTTGGTTATTCCTCATTCAGTAACCCTTCCTAGGTTACAATAGATAGATAGATAGATAGATAGATAGTGTTACATAGCTTATCTATGAACACTAAGCGAGCATTATGTTTTGTTGATGTTATAAAGATTACCATCTTTATTTCCAGCCTCTGTTTTTCTCGGTTATAACACATTGCATATCACTATTAAAACTTTCTAACAATGGCCGTCATTTCTGACGACACGGGTACTCTAATTTAATTATAAAAGCCATCGACATAAGCCGAAATTGGAAATAAAAAACAAATTTTAATTTTTAATTTGATTTCTAAAGGTGAATATGTAAATTAGTTATCTTCATTAAGTAATAACCACTAAGTTGGGCGAGATATAAAACACTTGCTGTAGATGTAAATAATAAAATCGCATTTACTTGATGTCAGTTTTACGTAATATTTGCACACACCTATAGATAGACAACTTATTTTATTTATATTTAAATGATTATCAGTTTTTCCAGTTTATATATATATATATATATATTATAAGTACACCGGATTATATATATATATATATATTATGAGAACACCGGATTACATATCTTACTGTTCTTTTCTTTTTTTTATTTAAATATATATATATATATATATATATATATATATATATATATATATATATATATATATATATATATAATTTAAATAAAAAGCAGACCATTTTTAAGGTTCTATGTAATAATTTCACCTAACTTCTGCTAACTCACTCATGTCTTCTCTCTCCCCACTCACTTCGTTAATTTACATATATTTAATACGGCCCGTCAAAATGTGTAAATTTTCTTTTCATTTTTTGTTTGAAGTAAAGTCTGATAATCCGCAGTCCTTTTAAAAGGGCTGTGGCGAAATAATTTATTACATGGAACCTTAAAGTGATTTGTTTTTATTTAAATTATTTGCTCTGGATTTACATTGAGCTCTCTGGATTTTATCCTCCTTAGGTTTACCCATACGGATTACCTAGTTTTTTTATAAGCTATAAGCTATATATATATATATATATATATATATATATATATATATATATATATATATACGAGTTCACCCCATGCAAAGCAGTAAAGTTACTATGACGTAAGTGGTTAGTTAGTGTGGAAGAGTTAGAAACAGAAACATTGGAGCAAGAACAAAAGAAGTGTAATCAGGACGACAGTTGCTAGCAATTGACATTGCATTTAAAATTTTGCAGATTAAGGTTGGCTGGAATGCATGGAGTCGGAATGAAGTTCCACAAGTGAGAAGTGAGAGAAATTGAACTATTAGCATAGAATTTACGATGACATCTAGCCAGCTCAACTGTAATCTGATGAGATCTTGTCGTCAGTTGAGACTTTCTTTCTTTTTATGTGCCATGTCCTTTCAGGACGTAGGCGATCATGGTTCTCCACCTCTTTCTATCCCTTGCAACAAGTTCCTTTCCTCTGCCTCCTCCCACAGACCACATTCTGTCATCGACTTGCTTAAGTCCGCCACGTATGTCACGCGTTGTTTTCCCTTGTTTCTCTTTCCCTCTACGCTTAAATTCAAAATGTCTAGGTACATAGCGAAGAGCTCATCCGAATCATGAAAATATTTATAGAAAAGTCACAGGGAGACAACCTTACGGCTGTAGGAAAGAGGCTGAAGCCGAGACGCCAGAACAAGGTCAATAATATTGCTGATTCGCCTTTGGATTTTATCAAGGAGCTCTAGATAAATAGCAGGGGAACTGGACCATATGCGGCAGCAATATTCTAAGCATGGACGAATGGTAGACTTATAGATATTTAAGATAGATTCTGGAGAGAAAAATTGTCTAGCAAGACACAAGATTAGTTACTATCTCTCATGGATAAATTTAATAACCTTTTTTAACGGATCTACGCGTGTGTCTCTGATTAGGTTAAAAGATTTACTGCCTCTTTTTTGCATGCATAGAGACACAGGTTACAATTGTAGACTTTCCAGTTTTAAATATGAATGAGATGCCATTTAAGGAAAAATCTCCTGCGGTTCACACGCCTGATGATAATGGCGTCGACCTCCTGTGGTTGTCCGGTGATTAATCAGTTGCTTATTTATTCAGTCCAGTATGACTGATGCCATAACTTAACTGCCAGATTCGAATATTCTTTTTCTTCTTCTATGTGTGGGGATCATGGCTCTCCACATCCTCCTATCCCTTGTAGCTCTTAGTAACGTTTGTCTTTTTGCCATAGCTGTCACCTGCCGTTCCGTCATCCATTAGCATAAGCTCGCCAGTTAGATGGCCTGTTGTCTCCCCGTTTGTCTTCGGTATGTCTTGCGAGTGTCGAATTCTCCAAGCCTTTCTTCCTTATTATGTATCCAAGAAATTTCAGCTATCTCTATCTAAGTCTGAATATAAGAGTCTCTTTTTGTTTCTATTTTCCTTAGGACTTATTTGTTGGGTACGCTTTCGTCCAGGGTATTCTCAGCATCCTTCTGTAGAACCACATTTCTGTTGTTTTCAATCTAGCGCTGTGAGGGAATTGCCCAGAATTCCCTGCTATATAGGAGGATTGATATTGTAAAGCAACTCAGCACTCTGTTCTTTGTTTTTAAGATATTTTTCCTGTTTCTTATTACTTTGCTTAGCTTTTCAAAATGCATCTTTTGCCATTCCAATGCGTACTTCGGATTTCGGTGTCACATTTTCCGAATTCTGTTAAAGCACTTGCTAGAGATTTAAACTTCTGGACTTGTTTGATTTTGATATCCCCAACATGAGACTTACAGGATTTGAAGGTGAAAGGAGAAACAAGAAAATAGTGAGTAACCTAACAAATCTAGCTTGCGTAAATGAATGGCAGAACTGAGACTGGGACGGAATGCTTCCACCCACAAAGAGAGGAAGATGTGGAGAGCTATGATCGGCACGAGTTAAAAAGATACAGCACATAAAAGAGGCATGCAAACATGTACCCAGGTCAAAATCTGCATAACTCTTCAGAATGTTGCAATTTTTTTTTCGTCAGTATACGGTGGAGTGTGAACTTATGATTTAGTACTGGTTTTGAACAAATTTAGTTTTCTTCATCCATTTTTGATATTTACGAAAGTGACTTTTAAGGCCTGCAAAAGTGTATATATATATATATATATATATATATATATATATATATATATATATATATATATATATATACTTTTGCAGGCCTTAAAAGTCACTTACGTAAATATCAATATATATATATATATATATATATATATATATATAAAAAAAATGACAATAGGAAAACTAGTAATTTATGACGCGTTTCGTCCAATGTGGACTTTATGAAAGCAAAATTTTGCTTTCATAAAGTCCACATTGGACGAAACGCGTCAGCAATTACTAGTTTTCCTATTGCCATTTTTTGTTCATAAATATTGTCTTTTCTACTGCTGAAATCGGAGAAATTTTCATATATATATATATATATATATATATATATATATATATATATATATATATATATATATATACAGGGTGACCCCAAAAAACGGGAATTTTTGAAGTGCGTATTGCCAGACATGAGCAAGTAGCAACACTGCGAGACAGTGACCTTGAGCAAGTAAACATTTCGCCATTTAGAATTCAAGATGAAATTCACACTATCCCAGCTGAGATGTTGCAGCAGTCAATGAGGAATCTCAACAGCAGATTTCAAGAATGCATTTGTAGAGGAGGACGCCATCTACAGGACGTAATTTTAAAAAGTGAAAATTCCATTATTGTTTCTTAAATGGCATGTTTTAAGGTTTCAATTACTATAAATAAAATATTTTTCTTCCATCACTCTTGGTTTTATTGGATTGTTAAAAATTTCCCGTTTTTTTTGGTCGCCATATATATATATATATATATATATATATATATATATATATATATATATATATATATATCTGAATGTAATGAGAACAAAAATAATATATAAATTCTAACGTTCTCAGCATAAATTCAAAAGTGGGCTCAATACCGATAGTAGAGCAATAATTATTTCTTGTAATTTTTTCATATGAACAAAAACAATTTACTAACTACAGAGATGCAACTTCGTTTCCATGCATTTAATTGCACTTCGACTGGTGTGAACCAAAATGATTATGAACAATTCTGTTTGTAAGCAAGCCGCATGTGAAACGTCACTTGCTTTTTTTCCATTTGTTTGACAAATAAATAAATAAATAAATAAATAAAATAAAAAATAATAAATAAAGGTAAAAAGATGACGGAGTGAAAGAATAGTGCTTGGCGATAGCAGTTTGGTGAAGGATGGATGAGTTGTTAAAGTGATGGCCAGACCTGCAAAATTACTTTTCGACAACAACGGTCAAGGGTTTAAACACAGCATTTCCAAGCCTTCTAAGAGTGAGGGGTGAGGGAGGAAAGGTCAGAATAGGACATAGTAATACGATGAAATAGAAAGGGGGGATAAGTTCAAAGGATAGTTATAGTAGTAATTGAGAATGTTTTTTTGATTATTTCAAAAACTAAACCAGAGTTGAATTGCATATATTTAGGTTGGAATATATATATATATATATATATATATATATATATATATATTAAAAACGTATATATATATATATATATATATATATATATATATATATATATATATATACGTTTTAAATAAACAACAATCTTGTGCCTGGCGAGTTGGGTAATCAACAAAACTTTAGTCGCACAGAAAACGTAGGTATATGTGTGTGTGTGTATATATATATATATATATATATATATATATATAGTGATACTAATAAACATCAAATAACAACAGCAACTGGTTACATTGGTTACAAAGGCACGACACTATCTCGTAGGTTGATTTCTCATATATATATATATATATATATATATATATATATATATATATATACGGGTAGTAATCCGTTGGTCTATAATCCAAGTGAATCCTATTTAATGTTTGAATAATCCTGTAGATTTGATTTTACAAGGTGAAAATGATCATTTACTTAATGGTATCTTAATTCCGATTGTATGATATATATATATATATATATATATATATATATATATATATATATATATAGTCCAAATCATGTAACACCAAAATTGTGCAATTTTTAGATTAAAATTTGAAGTGCTGTATCTTAAAAATGATTAATCATTGGATTTCTCCGAGGTTTTTATAACGCTATTGGATTCTACATTGAGCAATAAGAATGTATAATTACTCTCCAAGCTTAACAGAAGAAGAATTGTGATGACATCGATCATAAACGAAAATGACATGTTCATCATTAACTAATCTTAGCTAAGGATCGGAAGATCATGAAGGATTGATATTATGTTCACACACACACACGCACACACACACACACACACACACACAAACATATATATATATATATATATTACTAAATTTACTAAAAATTGTTACATTCTTATGTTATTAGACGAAAATGCAGATACACATGGACTATTATATCAGATGTGCGTGTGCTTATATGTATGTTTATTCTTAAGAGTTCTTAAGAGTTATGTTTAGTGGATTTAAGCGTTGATTCGTGAATTTGGTGACATATTAAATGTGAGTTCAATCCTTGAGTCGGGCAGTTAGTATTTGAACTCAGTCGAAACGAGCGAGCAATAACTGAGCAGTTCTAAAAACAAGAACTCGACAAGATATCTCTAGACATGGGGGCAGTGTAACGTGAACATTCTATCCCTGTTGATTAAATAAAGGGTTCTGTTCTGAATTCCCTGTAGGTTACTGTTGTGGTTTTGTTAGGGACCAGAAATAAAGACACAAAGAGAGGAATTGAGTTAAACAAATATATTAACCGAAACAGTAATACAAACATATACAAACGAGGGTGTTACAGCAAGAATGCTCGGTCCGACTGTCAGAGCTGACTGCTGGAAACTTCCCGATATTTATTTCTGTTATATACAGAAAATGTGGCACAAGGCCAAAATGGGGAATGGGGGAAAAGGACAGTCTTCATCTGTCTCAACTTTAAACTTAGCTAACCACAAACACTGACCCAAACATACAACAATATTCCTTATACCAAAACAATGCATTCTTACTTACCTTTCTTACTACATCCACCATAATACCTCATTGTCTCTATGAAAATCCTAAATAGTCCCCATATGTACAATTCATTGTCTGTTGAGGGAGGGGAATATAACAACAATTTAGAAAATCCCCAATGACTATGTGCAATATGAATATAATCTATTAAATCTGCTGGAAATTTATCTCTCCAAAAGGCAGTACCTGCTCCTACTTATAGGTGGGAAAATCCATGCGTGCATGGGTAAATTACCATAACAGTTACCCAGATCGATGTTCATTGATGAAGGCTGGAGGGCACAGCGGATGAAACGTTGTGGTAGCAATAAAAATGAAGACAAAGTATTTAAATATTGTAAATAATTAAGCAAAGAACCGTTTAAAGAATAAAATTTACCTGGCTAATACAAGGGCAGAATTTCCCGCCGTCCACGTGTTGTCTGATCGGAGAAGTGTAGTGATTCGATCAATCAATAGATCGATACAATGAGACTCCAACATCCATGTGCGTCCCGCTTGGGTTTCAGCCTGCCAAAATCAGAATTAAATTCATTTAAGTATACGTTTCCTATTCGGATAAAAGATGAACTAGATTCAAGAAGACTGAAGATGATGATTGACGTTGCATTTAAGTTTTTGTAGATTATACTTATCGGAGAAGCAAGTAAACGGAAGGGAGTTTCAAAAGCAGGAAGTGCGAGAAAAGAAATTTTTAGAGTAGAAGTGGCGGTTACCTTTAACTATTTCAACATTAAACGGATGGGATCTAAATGCCAATCTAGTAGCACGCTTAAATTCATGTAGTCGAGGCACCAGGGAAAAAAGATTGCCGAAATTTAATTTTCTTGCGAGCTTTGAAAAAAATAGAATTATTAGAGTTATTCGAATTACCGTTCACGGAAATTATAATTATTCGAATTACCTTTTGCGAAAATTATTATTATTCAAACTTCTTCTCTCGGAAATTATAATTATTCTAACTACTGCTCCTGTTGACACTTTCACTGCTAATCATTTGCCCAGTGCTGCCCTCATCCGGCCAGCCATTTTTAAAGAAAATGCCAAATTTCAACCCACATATTTTATTACACAGAAAATTGGCACCAGTGTGTTTTACAGCATTCCATTTTCATGGATATACCTGGGAATGACTTAGCAGATCAGTAATGGGTATACACATGATATCTTTTGAAGCATTGTCCTTTGTGATTTTATGATAGATGGCGCAACGGGACACTCATAACAGCGGTATGCAAAAAACGTAGGTTTCCGTACTTAGCCAGCAAGATAAGAAAAAAGAAGATCGCTGTAGTTAGCCGCGGAAGTGTTAATTATAATTATTTGAACTACTGGTCCCGGCAATTATAATTATTTGAACTACTGGTCCCGGCAATTATAATTATTTGAACTACTGGTCCCGGCAATTATAATTATTTGAACTACTGGTCCCGGCAATTATAATTATTTGAACTACTGGTCCCGGCAATTATAATTATTTGAACTACTGGTCCCGGCAATTATAATTATTTGAACTACTGGTCCCGGTAATTATAACTATTCGAACTATTGTTCCCGGAAATTATTATTATTCGAACTTTTGTTCCCGGTAATTATAATTATTCGTATTACCATTTACGGAAATTATAATTATTAGAATGATTCTTTCAAGCAATTATGATTATTGGAAATACCGTTCACAGCAATCATAATTATTTGAACAACCGAACATTTGAGCAACGACGATTTTTTAGAGAAAATGGAAACAAAAATGAAACTTTTACTCAACCAGGAAGAGACACTTTTACAGCACATAATGAGGAAAGAAGACTTGGTAAATCTGATACTCCTAGGACTGATTGAAGGCAAGAGAAACAGAAAAAACAACGCATAAAGTATTTAATGGGCTTGAGTGAATGGGTGCCGGGACAAAATTTAGGATAAATAACAAAAAGTATTTATAAAGAGCTAGGAAGGACGGGAAATTGTGGAGAGCCATAATCGCCTACGTTCTGTATGAACACTCTGCCAATCAAGTATATAGGGTTCCTCTATTTGTCACTTATCAGATTTAATTAGCTTTTCTCTTTTTTTCTTCAGCTGCTTTCTTCTTCCCCATTGACCGGAAACTACAAAAAAACAATTCCACACATAATCTTGAAATATTTTTACGCACAAAAATAACCCGAGACTGCGAAAAAACAGTACAAAATCGGTACATTTAGTTTTCCAAAAAACGTTCCCTTTGAAATTTCACACGGGAACAGAAGTAGAAGCTTACCAAGGTTCCAAGAGTGCCTGCTACATTCATGACGCTTTCAGAATCTTCGGAAACCAGCAAGGCAACCAAATTTTCCAGAACAGCTCTGCTGCTGTCCGCCAATCGATCCTTGTTTGTTTTGTCTTTGTTTGCCAAATAGAACACGCGGTGGAAGCCGGCTTCTGTTTCGGACAGGATTCCAAGAGCGTAAGCAGCGTTTCCAGACACTCTGTAATAGAATCCAAAAGAAATACTCAGCACTTTCGTGATTACACTGACAATTAATTATAACATGTCGTGTCAAAAATTTGAAAGCAAGAAAAATGGATTCCATATCTATCTATCTATCTATCTATCTATCTATCTATCTATCACAGCCTCTTCAGATGTATCTATCACAGCCTGTTCAGATCTATCTATCTATCTATCTATCTATCTATCTATCTATCTATCTATCTATCTAATTCTGTTACTATGTATGTATGTTATTCTGTTTCTATCTATCTTATTCTGTTTTTATCTATGTATGTATCTACCTTATCTATCTATCTATCTATCTATCTATCTATCTATCTATCTATCTATCTATCTATCTATCTATCTAATTCTGTTACTATGTATGTATGTATGTTGTTCTGTTTCTATCTTATTTTGTTTCTATGTATGTATGTATCTACCTTATTCTCTATCTATCTATCTATCTATCTATCTATCTATCTATCTATCTATCTATCTATCTATCTTATTACGTTTTTCTATCTATCTATCTATCTATCTATCTATCTATCTATCTATCTCCGAGTCCCGCATAGACAAACTAGAATCATCATTCCCACAAACGGTGGTTGATTAGATAAATGTACGTGAAACCTGCTTAACCAATGAAAAAAAAAGACACAAAAATTAAAATACCATTATACTTTTACTCTTTCTTTTTTCTCTTTATCTCATTTTCTGATTGAACTTTAAAACGCGAAACATGTTACGTTTTCTATTTGTTATTTATCCTCTTTAACCATGTTGTTATCTATATATCTATCTCAAATGGTTCAGAAATATCTATTTCTCTTTCTCAGTCTGTACGATATATCGATCTCAGTCTGTTCCAATCTATCTATCTATCTATCTATCTATGTCTATCTCAATCTGTTTATATCTATCTATCTATCTATCTCAATTTCTTTATGTCTATCTCAATCTGTTTATATCTATCTATCTATCTATCTATCTATCTATCTATCTATCTATCTATCTATCTATCTATCTATGTCTATCTCAATCTGTTTATATCTATCTATCTATCTATCTATCTATCTATCTATCTATCTATCTATGTCTATCTCAATCTGTTTATATCTATCTATCTATCTATCTATCTATCTATCTATCTATCTCAATTTCTTTATGTCTATCTCAATCTGTTTATATCTATCTATCTATCTATCTATCTATCTATCTATCTATCTATCTCAATCTGTTTATATCTATCTATCTATCTATCTCAATCTGTCTATCTATTTCAATCTGTTCATATCTATTTATGTATCGTTAGGGTTAGTGAATGAAGGGTGTGGGCTTACGCAACCTAGTCTGCCAGGGGAATTTTCCTAACACTCCTAGGTAGCGTTTTATAAATTAGTATAAAACGAAAAAATAGAGCCCCTTCTCGTTTTCCCTCTCTTTAACTACAGGTAGCCTATTAACAAGACGTGTCTCATTTCCCCTCCAGATAACAGTTCCCTGGCAAACCGACCTTTTAATCCCAACCAAACCACGTGGCGCATTGCATAAAACACACGACATTATCTCACTAACGACCGATCAGATAAATATTTATCGCCCTCCTTTTCTGAGTTATGCTGTTCTGTATGTAAAAAGAAGCTTTTCGTTTGCTCACGAATCCACGTCTGCATCACTTGTTTGTTTGGGTACCCAACGGGCCCAAACTTTACCGTACCTCAAGTCATCCTGCACTATGGCTTGTTCAGATCTTTAGCTGATGACAACGATTGCCGCCAGTTGGGTTAAACGTGATTCGCCGGTTTTCCCAGATCAAGGTCCCCACCCTCTGGATATGCTTTTTCTGGACGCGATTATGATGATGGGCAACCAGATTTGGCTTTCGTCTGTTGCACTTGTTCTTCCCGCTTTAAAGCGTTCTACTAAATCATTCACTTTTCGTTGATTCCTGCTGCGTGCCCTATAACGCGCCTATATCCGGCGCTGAATTCGTAGCTTAGATTTGGCACAAGGCCGAAAGTATGACGCAGCCAGTGAGGATCGAACTTACTACTCAGACGTAATGATTCTAATTGGACAAGCTTGCTTAACCATTATACTACGCCGAAGTGCCGATTGAGCGCTATAAAGAAAGGTTAATTGTTAAAAACAGTGACTGCTCCTGCTAATAATGCATCGCTCTTTAGTTATGAATTGAGCGCTCTTGGCTACTGGCGTTTGTATACATCACGTATATAATACGTTAAAAATTTCTCTCTCTCTCTCTCTCTCTCTCCCGTGCGCCGATAGCTTAGGGGTTGAATCTCTGATGCCAAATCGGTCGAGTTTCGATCCCAGCTTGAAGCAATCGGATGTCTAGCTACATTGATGAGCTGCAACACAGCGAATCAGGCTTGTAAGTGGATGACTACATATATATATATATATATATATATATATATATATATATATATATATATATATATAATGTGTGTATGTGTAAGCAAATTTTCTTATTTCTGAAAAATGTTCACGAATTGTCCCGTTGGAGGATTTTGTCCGTTTTGTTAATGAATATTTTAGTGAGTGACCCAGCTAAACGGAAAGAGTAAAAAAAAGAGGAGAGTAAAAACATGTACGATCGCTTCCCGAACACGGGATCCTGGTTCGAATCTCCTCATGGTCGATTTACTAAGGAGGTAACATTTTGCTGTTATCGCGATGCGAGCGACACAATTACCTGAAAACCATACCAGGTGTTGACCCACGGCTTGGGTTGACAGATCTATTCAAAAGTCATTTTTTACGGCTTATCAACCCTTTGCAGGTTATTTAAGGCCAGAAAATATGTTTTTTTAGATTGAAAGAATTTTGGGGGATTAATAATGGTGCAATTAATAAGCTATAGTTGGGTAGTGGAGGGAAAGTGGATGCATATATTTCCCAAGGGTATTTGCGCGTAAGTGAATATGACGAACACAACGGGAATTGGAACTCGCCTATATGATTAACAATTCCGAACCATTATCCATTACACCACCCGCACATCCAAGCTTACAGCACCTGGTATTCTCAAGCGGTCATCCATTTAGGTACTGACCAGGCTCGACGTTGATTAACTTCGGTGATCTGACATGTTTCGATGTGGTGCGGCAGTAAGTCAAGTACAAAGTGACAAGTCGTCTTCACTAAGGGTTTGAGTGTATAGGCTTTGTAATTATTCATCACGCCTGATGATGCGTCTTCTCTCTTTTTTTCTCTCTTTCTCTCTCCCTCGCTCCCTCTCTTTCTCCTTTTCTCTCTCTCTCTTTCTCTCGCTCTCTCTCTTTCTCCTTTTCTCTCTCTCTCTTTCTCTCGCTCTCTCTCTTTCTCAATCCCTCTCCCTCTCTTTCTCTCTCTCTTTCTTTCTTTTTCTTTCTTTCTTTCTTTTACTCTCTCCCCTCTCTCTTTTTCTCTCTCTTTTTCTCTCTCAGAAACCGTAACTAAGGTCCGCTCAGTATAGTTACAGTATAAAGCACAGGTGGGTTCTGCGGATGTTGAACAAATGTGACTGAGCAAGCGTCTTCAACTGGGATCGGCATTAGTGTGTTCGAAAACGAGTAGCCAGTCATTATATAGAGATTTCTTTCGTACGTGTGTGTGTGTGAAGTTCCTATGAAGGATTGTGAAAGACATCTGAGAGATTATCCATTGGTTTCATGGGATTATTATATCTGTCTGTGTGTCGCCAAGTAAACTTAGGACTTTGCGTTCCATCTACTATTCTGGGTTTGGTTCAATTGTAAGGTATCCTCTTGGTAAAGAGCTTGAGAAGAGAATGAGATTTTTCAGCTTTTTTTATATATTTCTTTTAGAGACGACTACTAGTGGTCGTTAGCAGAAGTTCTTTGGCAGACAAGTAGGGTAATGTCACAGTCGCTAGAAGCTAATGCTAGGCATAAATTTGTCCTCAATAATTTCATTTGCGTAATTCGAAGAAATCGTCTGTTTTTATTTTTATTTTTGTCAAGGAAACTGAAAAGAAAAGATTAAGCATACATTGTAATTAGACAGCATGTACGATTGTCAGCAAAAGGAAATCCCCGAGATGCGAACTTCGAATTGGAATCGCCAAAATCAAGTAAGTACAAAATATTTAAATCTCTAGGAAACATTTTAACAGAGGGCGGAAAAAGCAAACTATTAAGCAACATGTAAATTTCGTTAAAAACAAAGTGTACTGAACTGTTATGTAATATCAGTCCTCCTATACGGCAGTGAATGCTGGACAATCTCCTCACAGATGAAGAAGAGACTTGAAGCAACAGAAACAAAGAAAAGAGTACTGAACTGTTATGTAATATCAGTTCTCCTATATGACATTGAATGATGGACAGTCTCCTCACAGATGAAGAAGAGACTTGAAGGAAAAGAAACAAAGAAAAGTGTACTGAACTCTTATGTAATATCAGTACTCCTATATGGCAGTGAATGCTGGGCAATCTCCTCACAGATGAAGAAGGGACTTGAAGCAACAGACTTATTGTTATACAGAAGGATGGTGTGAATATAAGAGGTAGAGAGAGTTGAACTTTCTAGGGCACATGATGAAGAATAAGAACTTGAAATATTTGATACTCAGAGTACAGATTGAAGTCAATCGGGACAGAGGCAAACAACGTATAACCTACCTATCTTTCTTGGGTAAATAGACGAACATGTGAGCAACGACAAAACTTTAGAGAAAATGGAATCAAAAAGATACTAACACTTAGAATCAGAAAGAGACAGTTAAAATGTTTGAGCGCGTAATGAGGAAAGTGGGTTTGGAAAATTTGATACTCACAGGAGATATTGAAAAGAAGATGGACAGATTAAGGCAGCAAATATTTTGTGTAAATGCTTAGTGAAACAGGATTTAAATGCTAAAAAGTACTACAAGAGATTGAAAGTGGTGGATAGCCATGATTGTTCGCGACAAGAAGAAGAAGAAGAAGAAGAAGAAGAAGAAGAAGAAGAAGAAGAAGTGAAAACTAAGATTTTAGATTGGGCTCTTTAGTTTTGGCAACCAGTCTAAGAAAAAGAAAACTCTGAATTCAAAACTGGAGGAGGCAATGAGAAACTATTTTTCCTAAGAAATTATATCAATGATAATATTATTAGAATAGTTATCTTGAATTAATTACTAGGAAAGTAGGTTCGATCTGTTGTTTTATCTCGATAGAATCCATCTTGAATGTTCAAAAATCGATCATTCGTCGGGCAGTGAATATTGCTGCCACATCTAGTCTGGTACTCCTGCTGTATATATCGAGATTCGCGACAATATTCAAAGAAGCGTCCGCAATGTTAATGGTCCTGACCTGGCATCTCGACATCAGTTACTTTCCCATTGCCGTAATGTGGCTTCCCTAGTCTTTTCTATTGGTATTTTTATGGCAATTGTAATTGTTTCCGCCTTGATATCTTGACCGCATGAATTTAAGCGTACTAAATACGCTTAGCAACTAGGCCCCATCTTTTTATTGTTGAAATATATAGATGCAACCGTAAGCTCTATTCTAATAGTTTCTTTACTCGCACTTCTCGCCTGTGGAACTCTTTCCCGGTTTCTTGGTCCTTGTTACTACTACTTCAAAAATTCTAATGCAAAGCCAATCGCAATATTTTTGTCTTTCTTTCACTCTCGGTAACCCCTTGCGTCTTAGTAGCATTATCACTTTGCTTGGGGTGTAATGACTAAAAAGAAATTATAATAAAAAAAACGAATGTGTCGAGAGACGTTTGCTTACATCTTGAAGGGACACGAGAAAAAAAAAAATGAGGATAACAGATTTACTCCCTTTGTTTTCCGATTTACTATCATTTTTTTTGTTTTGTTTTTCTCTTGATTTATTTTATATCGTATTGGGATGGGAAAAATAAATGCAAAAATCATATTAATAATTATATAAGAATTTTGAAAAACTGCATATATTTATAGAGAACTAGCAACATGGCCCGGCGTTCCCGTGCTTGATTCAAAAATCGTACGACTCATACAGCAATCGCTATCACTTGACTTAAAATATTTTGCCCTTCCTTGCCTTTAAAGGAGTGCCCTTTTTGTGATGTTGTTGCTACATGCCTTACTTCTTGCCTATCTCACACTGCGAATTTTTTCAAAGCTCTATACTAAACATTAAATCTGTTACGAAAAAAGAACTAAACAAAATGAATACAAAACGATCAGCTTTAAAAAGGACTCGTAACTGGAAAAACCGAATGAAAAAAGAATGTTAAAAACAAATACTTTTTCACATCCAACCCAGTTCTGCAGAATCAGAATCAACGTTGAGTTTAAGCAAGCGAATG